TTTTTTCACATTTTAATATCTCTTAAATTGAGATATGTCTCACCACCAATTAATAGCATCATAGCACTGCATCATAATCTAACTGGCAACTTTTTTTCCTCTCTTGCAGTTGCGATGGTGTTTTCGATTCTATGAAATAAGGAGTAGATGTCTTCCTACCTTATAACTCTAGTTTTCTCAGGGAAGTAGGGCTATAGGTCATCTGCTAGGGTGGAGGCAAATGGATATTTGAGGAAGGGGAGAGGGATTCTTTACTCATCTCTTCCATGTACCACTTCTCTCCTATCCTCTATCAATTTTCAAGTCCTAGGGCTTTGATCTCCTTAAGAATTTTCACTAATGTCTGCTGTGGTATCTCTAGTGCTTAGCACAGTGCCTTTCTGGCACATGATAAATGATGATCGCTAGATATTTGCATCAATAATGAATGAGCATATAAATGAAGAAAGTTTAGAAGAGCAGTTGTGGGGAGTAGAAGAGGGAGACGAATAAGGATTACCCAGCAGACGGTTGACCCAGTTGAGGTTCAAGACTATGTACCAGTCTGCACTGTGGGGTGATTTTTGTTTTTTCACCAGTTCTTGGCATTTTATATAAGGGAGTAAGAGGTCTAATGGTTGAGTTAATCCAAATTTGGGGATTTGCAGGGTGAGTTTGATAGAGAAAAGGTTGAAGATGTTGAAAGTACAGATAAGAAAAGAATTCATCTAATATTGGAACACATCTGTACTTTTTGGCCTAAAATATATATATATATTTTGCTTCTATTGTTTTAAAAACTACTTCCATTTTGTTATTGGATCAGTTAAAACCCTCAACTGTGTCCTGTTTCTATATCTTCACTAGAATGTGTTTAGTAACTGCTGTCTAGTGAATTAATTTGAATAATCTTCTTGTTTTCAAAAGAAAATAATATGTAGATTAGGAAATTCTAGAAATCAAATTTCTATGAAATAGCAATATCTTATAAAATAAGCAGTATTTATATTTATGCTACATTAGTAAAATAAAAATATTTATATTCACAAAATAAGCAATCTTTTTTCTACCTTTCAAGTCACATACAGATAACCATGCTCTCTGAGTGAAGAGTTGAATGTTGTTAACAAACTATGTGAACATATGTGAATAGTTTAATGTTGTAGTGAAACAGTGAAAATCTATGTGAATAGTTTAATGTTATAATGAAAGAAAATATAAGTTAACCTGGTGATAATTTAAAGATGAACATTACTGTTACTGTATATAATAATACACATTTGATAAACCACTTATAAAAATAGGTATAATTAATGTAATGATTTGAATGATTTTCATTATTATTATTGAATAATAATACTACACCCAGATCAACTAAAGAGGTAACTGTACATTTCTCTATAACGGAATTGAGAGTAGCTCACAATCTCTGTTTTTGATAATATGGAAACACTTGAATTTTCCAATTCAAGTTAGCTCAGTCACTTCTAGTTTAGAGCTATTTCTTTGTGTTAAAGATTCAGTCCCAATCAGAGTTGTCCCCTCTTTCTGCCTCCTACTTCTCCCCAGGTGTAACGTAGATTCCCTGAAGGAACTTATCATCTAGACACCAGAAGGAGGGACATTCAGTACTAGTGTTACTCACTGTCCTTACTGAACTCCACCTCAGATAGGAGCTACTGTGAGATACCTCTGAAGGTGCTTCTACTTGGATTCTGGGAGTTGTTCGTGACCCAGATGTTCTGGTACAGAGCTACTCAAAGTGTGATCTGTGGACCAGCAGCATCAGCATCCCTTCCAGCCAGTGAGAATGTTGGAAATGTACATTCTCAGGACCCATCCCAGACCTGGTGAATCAGAATCTCTGGGAGCAGTGCCCAGGAGTCTGCATTTTACCAAGCTCTCTTGATGACTCTGATGCACCCTAAAGTTTTAGCTTTGTTCTAGATTTTCTAACATCTACCTGAGCTATCATGATGAAATTATAGTTTCGATGAGTGGCAATTATAGTAAATAAGATGTTCATTATGCATAGTGAAGTATAATAATGGGACATTGGTCTTGGGTGGGAATAGAGTGGCTACAGAGCAAAAGGAGGTTTAGGTGACCATAGGGCATGATGAAAGCAGAGCATACCTGGGGTCATGGAATTGATAGAATAAAGAGTTGGAAATGAATTGAAGCAGCATGTTTAAGATGCTTGCCATTATAAGGGGTTACCACCTTCTTTTGGGCTAAGTCTAATTTTGGTTCTCTGAAAAATAAACAAAGAGGGGGTAATTTTAGGACATCTAGAAATTTAGATAAGTTCTCTACCCAGAACAATATTAAATAACTTACAGATATTACCATGCTCATATGAGATTTCTTTTCCTTTCAAATGTCTGGGCAGATCTGGATCTTCTTCCTCATCCCCAAAACTCTCACACACACACCCAAAAACCTTTTTTTGTGGATAGTCATAGATTTGTGTGAATGGGCTAGTGGGGAGTGATCTGATCTCTTTATTTACCTCACTTGAGCAGAAATGATTGGCAGTGTTGAGATCTAGTCATAAACTCATCATTTCCTTTGGGGTAGCTCAGTAGGCACGTGCTTCTTTTAGAGGCCTTTGGTGGGAGTGTTAAACAACAAGATGGCCCAACTTGGGGGAAAAAAGGTTTCTAATAGAAACTTTATAAGCATTACATATTCTATTCTTGCAATGTGCAAAAGAGGTCTCTTTGGAAAAGGTAACCACAGATCTCAGTGTGACTTAGGAACAGTAGAAATCAATCTCACAAGAAAGGGAAAAGATAATAGATTGTTGCAATAAGAAACAGTCTTGCTTTGGCTTTTTATGCTCCTACACATCTTGCTAGGTATGCCCAGAATGTAAGTCCCTGACCACTCTTTACCTGGGCCATTTTTCAGGGTTGTGGAAGAAACCTTGAGGAATGAAGTAATGTTTTCCTCCAGGACCAGGAGCAGGTTTGGCTTTTTATGCTCCTACACATCTTGCTAGGTATGCCCAGAATGTAAGTCCCTGACCACTCTTTACCTGGGCCATTTTTGAGGGTTGTGGAAGAAACCTTGAGGAATGAAGTAATGTTTTCCTCCAGGACCAGGAGCAGGTTTAGCAGATTTGTTTTCTGCTTGCTGTAGAAGTAGTAGATCACCTAAGCTCAGTATTTCTTCCTTGTAACTCAATTCACTGTAAATACGTATGTCTCTGGACCCAGTGTCTCTGCATTGCTCTTGTGGGCAATGTGGGGCCAAGGAGAACCAACACAAATATTCTGGTGATCATGCTGGTTGCTGTGCCATGAGTAATATGTCTTCTGTTTCTGACCCAGGAATCTCATGTCTTCTGCCAGCATCCATGAAATAGTAAGAGATTAGCTTATTAGCTTGAATGTAGGGTAAAATCAAATCACAAATATGACAATTGTATCGTGAGAATTAGAGAGCTTTAGGTCTCTTGAAAAGAATTTGCTCAGGGGTTTCCTGCAGTCAGATGTAAGGAAGAGAACAAAGACTGGCAGGGATAGTAGGGTATAGAATCAAGATATTGAGCAATAAGTAAAAGTATTTAAGAGATGTTTTATGTCATATGTGGCTATACACATACACCTATAATGGGGTGTATGTGTACTCCATATTGGTTTGGGAAAGGAAAGGACAATGTTTCTTTTCCAATAATTCTATTAACCTTACCTTAAGAGATGTTTTATGTCATATGTGGCTATACACGTACACCTATAATGGGGTGTATGTGTACTCTATATTGGTTTGGGAAAGGAAAGGACAATGTTTCTTTTCCAATAATTCTATTAACCTTACCTTTGGTGAGTATAAGATCCACAGGTAATAAGCAGTGACACAGCAGATCTCCATAATCTGTGCATATAGACCAAACAGTCAGTGGCACCCTTTACAGCCAAGGTGGATGAAACTTGTTTCGTTTGGGGGGGCAATGACTTTTGCTACTTATTAAGCTTTTTTTCCCTTCTCAATGTATCTTCAGGCCAACATCAGTAACTGTTGCTTTTCCGTGTCACTGGAGGGTATAAAAAGTGGGGATAAAGAATGTTCAGGTGAAAGGAGAATGAGTTAGGAGGCAAGGCGTGTGAAAGCAATTGATGAGAGAGACAGTCCCAAGTAAAGGACTGTGCAGATATCGTATATGTTATTTCCCTCATCCAGCTCTTTCCTCACCCCTTGGTTTGTTGGCTGACTCCTCAAACATAATGAAGGTAGAATACGCATTCCTCAGCTGAGTGAATTGCAGCATTTCAAAAAGGTGAGCCACAGAACAATTTTATTTAAACTGATGTCATTAGATTCTAGAGTCTTCTGTCATCACATTCTGTTATTGCCATGTTAATTCCACATGCAACTTAAGCATTCAGTCTCCTGACTTGTTCCACCAACACAGGGCATTGTACAACTTCAAGATGATGGCCTAGAAGGGAAGGGAAAGACTTACTTTGGATTAAGTTCAATATGGGGAAATGCTTAAGGTAAGCCTTTAAAAGAAAAAAAACTATTCTTCCCATGTTTTATGTGTTAAAGGACATTGAAAATATTCATAAACTAAGCTTCAGTGCTTCTTTAGTTTCCCACAGTAGCTGGATATCTGGAATGTCTGGATATTTAGCTGAAACATTCTCTCCAGAGAGATTCCGCTTCATCCATGGTAAATATTTTTAAATGTAGTTAGTCAACAGGGTATAAGTTTATTCCACTTAACTCCTTTAAATATGGTAGTTCAATAGTCTCAAACAGATATTGTGATTTATTTAAAACCAGAAGTTCTATCTTTTCCTTCTGGGGATGCTTTAGTTCTGGTGTCCTTTTGTATGTTTCCTCTGATCTTTCTTTCTGCCTGCTTCCCTGAGTCTTTCAATTTCTCTTCCCAAGGTTTAACAGAGTGGGCAGGTACTGTGTAAGTAGAGAAAATCTTTTAGATTCCTACATTCCTTTGGGTACATCTGTATGACCATCAACCTTAGCTACCGTATTTTTCTCATTCCCTGTAGTTTCCATATTGGTAAGCAGGATATTATTCTTCAGGAGGCTTGGCAGGTTTCCACTCTGCTTCCTATTTGTTTTCCTCATTTGACCCTTTTTTCACTCTAGCAGCTGCAAAGATGACCAGAGCTTCCAATCAAATTATCCTGAAGATCAAGTTACTGCAGCCCACCAGCATCACAGAGTACCTTCTGTTTCACAACCAAATATGGCTCTTGGTGGTAAAACGTCTCATCCTTCTGCAGCACGTAAAGTCAATTTACCCAAAGGAGGTAGAAGGTTTTCTTCTTCATCAAGAACATCTTCCTCTGAAAGAAGAGGTTCTTTATGCTTTAGATTTCCAAAAAGCAGTACTTCCTGGCAACAAAGTAGAGCTAACTTTAATTCTCAAGAAGACATAAGCTTCAGTGATTTAAAATCTTCCTCAAACCATTTTGGTGGTTTTAGATTCCAAAGACCTTTCTCTTCCCATAAACTAAGTATAGTTTCCTATTACAAGAGTGCCATTTTTTTTGATTCTCAATCAAGTAGTCCAAACGTGTTTAATCTAAATGAAATTGAAATCTTTTCTAAAAACTCAAATAATATTGATGCTCAAAAATTTATAATGTTCGCTGCTCCTGAACATAACACTAAACATTTCAGGAATTTTGAAACAAGAGCCACTTCTTCAGCCAGTCAGAATACTACCGATAGAGTCTCCTATCAACCAAGATCAGCATCCTTTTTTTCTTCTGTTTCCTATGTCTCTCAACAAAATCACATTGCTACTGATATTCAGCGAAGTGGCCAGTTAATCAAAGATTCAAAAGATTCCCCTTATCCTGGTCCTCAGAGTCATAGTATAAATCATTCTGCAGCTATGATTGAACAGCATCCCTCTCAAAGTGTAACTTCACCTATCCTCCATAATGTTGGATTTTTGTCTTACAAACACGTCGGTAGTTTTACCCCATCTCAAAATGAAGTTACCTCGGGCCCTTTTGAAGATGAAAACTTTGCTGTCTCGTCTCAAGATGAAGACAAATCTTCACCTATTGAAATTTCTAAAATAAGGTCACTTCAAACTTTACTCTCTCTTAGGACAGCTCAGACCAGAAGTTTTGTCTCCATTCATTCTCCATAGTCTGTAGAAATCATTGCTCACTTCTCACAGAAGTCCCTTCTCACAAAGCTTCACTGCATTTTCTGAACAAGATTCCTATGTTATAGTCTAAATTTAATTTTAATTGGTACATTTTGGAAATTTAATTTATTGACATTATTGGAATATGAAAATCAAAAATGGTTTAATCTGTTTCAGGCTTTTTTCAGATTTACTGCTTAGAGATTGGCTGGTTCCAAATTTAAGTGATTTTAATTGGTACATTTTGGAAATTTAATTTATTGACATTATTGGAATATGAAAATCAAAAATGGTTTCATCTGTTTCAGGCTTTTTTCAGATTTACTGCTTAGAGATTGGCTGGTTCCAAATTTAAGTGATTTCTGTGGTCTGAAAATAACATCAAGGTTTGACGTATAGGTCTTCTAAATGTAATACATTCTTTAAGAGTTTAGTGCCTTCTTTTATCCTACTCTAATCATGAGAGATAGTGTTCCTACATAATCTATAGGGCTATATTTATTAATTCACGCATTTTCATCTATATCAGACTTGCTAGCTATATTTCTAGTGCCAGATATCCCACTGATAGATGTTTTATTAACTCAGGAATCAAATTATGAGTAAAAAAAATTATAGTGGAAATATGTAGAATATTTACAAACCAGATATTTTAACTAAGTAAATTTTATATGTATTCATGTATGCACAAATCTGGAAATTCAGAGAACTCTGAAATTAGAGATAAAGATGTATATCAGTGTCCAAAAATTTTATTTTTAAAAATGAATATTTTAAATATTTTTTTCTATTATATTAAATAAAGTGTATAAACATTTATCAGAATAACTAATGAAGGGGCCGGCCTGGTGGCGCACTGCTACAGTGCGCCGCTTGGGAGCACGGCGGCGCTCCCGCCGAGGGTTCAGATCCCACATACAGACCGGTTCCCGCTCACTGGCTGAGCGAGGTGCAGGCGCAACACCAAGGGTTGCGATCCTGTTGCCGGTCCCGGTCCGGTACGGGCGCGACACTGAGGGTTGCGATCCGTTGCCGGACATGAAAAAAGACAAAAAGGAAAAAAAAAAAAAAAAAGAATAACTAATGAACATGCATATAGGCAATTAAAAACACTTAAGTTAAAATACAATTAGACTTTGTAGAAAAAAGGAATTGGCATTATTTTAAATTATTTATCATAATAAAATGCCCTCCCAGTCTTCATTGAGCTAAGATGTTACTTTTACTTTTGTGATTTTCCCTTTTTTTATCATGTATCTTTAACAAATTTTTTTATTTTAATTTTTTTGTCATGAAATACACGTAACATAAAATTTACCATCTTATCCATTTTTAAGTGTGTAGTTCAATGGCAGTAAGTACATTAACGTTGCTGTACAACCATCACCACTACCCATCTCCACAACTCTTTTCATCTTGCAAAGCTGAAGCTCTGTACTCATTAAACAATAACTCTGCATTCCTCTCTCCTCCCAGCCACTATCAACTATCATTCTACTTTCTGCCTATGGTTTTGGCTACTCTGAGTATTTCATATAAGTGGAATTGTATAGTATTTGTCTTTTTGTCACTGGCTTATTTCAGCTAACATAATGTCCTTATGGTTCATCCATGTTGTAGCATATGTCAGAGTGTCCTTCCTTTGCAAGGAATAATATTCCATTGTATGTATAGTCCACATTTTGCTCATCGATTCATCCATCAATGGATAATTTGGGTTGATTCTACCAATATTTATTGTGAATAACACTGCTATAAAAATGTGTGTACAAATACCTCTTTGAGACTCTGCTTTCAATTTTTTTGGAGTATATACCCAGAAATGGGATTTCTGTGTCGTATGGTAATTCTATTTTTAATTTTTTTTTTGAGAAACCACTATATTGTTCTCCATAGTGGCTGCACCATTTTACATTTCCACCAAAAGTGCACAAGGGTTCCAGTTTCTCCACTTCTCCCCAACACTTTTGTTTGTTTTATCATAGTATCCATCATAACAGATGTGAAGTAGTATCTCCTCATGGTTTTGATTTGCACATTTGTTTGTTTCATCATAGTATCCATCATAACAGATGTGAAGTAGTATCTCCTCATGGTTTTGATTTGCACATTCCTTATAATTAGTGATATTGACCATCTTTTCATGTGATTATTAGCCATTTGTATATTTGTAGAAATATATATTCAAGTCGTTTGCCCATTTTTAAATCAGGTTGTTTTTTTGTTGTTGAGTTGTAAGAGTTTATATATTTTGGATATTTACCTCTTATCAGAGGTACAGTTTGCAAATTATTTTTCCAGTGAGTGTGTTGCCTTTTTATTCTGTTGGTAGTGTCCGTTGATACACGGAAGTTTTAGATTTTCATGTAGTTCAGTTTATCTATTTTTTCTTTCATTGCCTGTGTTTTTATCATGTCCAAGAAATTATTGCTAAATCTAGTGTCATGAAGTATTGGCCCTATGTTTCATAGTCTTAGCTGTTATGTTTAGGTCTTTGATGCATTTTGAGTTAGTTTTTGCATATAGTGTTAAGTAAGGATCTAACTTTGTTCTTTTGCATGTGGATATCCAGTTTTCCCAGCACCATTAGTTGAAGAGACTGTCCTTTCTCCATTGAATGGTCTTGACACCTTTGTCAAAAATCATTTGATCGTATGTGTGGGTTTACTTTTGGGCTCTTGATTCTCTTCTTTTAGTCTGTATGTCTATCTTTATGCCAGTACCACAGTGTTTTGATTACGCAAAGTGTAGCTTTGTGTAGTAAGTTTAGAAATCAGGAAATGTGAGACTTCCAATTTTGTTTTTTTTTAAGATTGTTTTAGCTCTTAGTGGGTCCCTTGAGATTCTGAATGAACTTCAGGATATATCTATTTCTGAAAAAAAATCATTGAAATTTTAAGAGAGATTACATTGAATTGTGTAGATCATTTTGGGTAGTATTGACATCTTAATGTTAAATTTTCAAATCCATGAACATGAGATGTTTTTCCATTTGTGTCTTCAAATTCTTGCAATATTGTTTTGTAGTTTTCAGTGTACGTACAGTGTAAGTCTTTCACCTCCTTAGTTAAAGTTAGTCATAAGTATTTTATTTTTTTGATGCTGTTTTGAATAGAATTATTTTCATAATTTCCTTTTCAGATAGCTCATTGTTAATGCATAGAAACACAAATGATTTTTGCTTGTTGATTTTTGTATCCTGCAACTTTCTGAATTTCCTTATTAATTCTTATAGTCTTTTTCTATGTGGAATCTTTAGGTGTTTTTCCTAAATATAAGATTGTGTTTTCTATAAACAGAAGATAATTTTGCTTTTTCCTTTCCAATTTGGATACCTTTTATTTATTTTTATTTATATTTTTGAAACATAATGTATTATACATATTTGTGGCCTACAGAGTTGAATATCAATACCTTCATACAATGTGTGATGATCAAATCAGGGTAATTAGCATATTCATCATTACAAAACTTTGTCATTCTTTGTGTCCATTAATTTCTTGGTAACTCCCCTCCCTCTTTCCCCACTCTAATAACCACAGTTCTGTTCCCTCCTTCTGAAAGTTCAACATATTATTGTGATTGTTCATTCTGTCTTTCTCTTTTATTTATTTAGCTCCCTCTTATGAGTGAGGACATGCAGTATTTCTCTTTCTGTGCCTAGCTTATTTTACTTAACATAATTTTCTCCAAGCTCATCCATGCTGCCGCAAATGGCAGAATTTTATTCTTTTTTATGGAATGCCTTTTATTTCTTTATCTTGCCTAATTGCTCTAGCTAAGTCTTTTCGGTGCTATATTGAGTACAAGTGTTGAAAGCATACACCCTTGTCTTGTTCCTGATCTTAAAGGAAAAGCTTTCGGTCTTTACCACTGAGTATGGTGTTAGCTGTGGGCTTTTCATTTATGGACTTTACTATGTTGAAGCAGTTTCCTTCTATTCCCAGTTTGTTGACCATTTCTATCATAAAAGGGTGCTGAATTTTGTCTAATGCTTTTTCTACATCAGTGGAGATGATCGTGTGGTTTTCCCCTTAATTTTGTTAATGTGGGATATCATGTTAGTTGATTTTCATATGTTGAATCATCCTTGTATTCCCAGAATAACTCTCACTTGGTTGT